CCGCTGAGCTATACCACTATCTGATATAACCAGCCCAATGGGGGGTGTATTTGACGCTCAAACATTTAAGTTCTGAACACTGCCAAGTCACAAACAATGCTATTTAGAGCAGTCACACTGCTCAAGTCGAAAATGTTTACAAATGTACCACAATATACTTCACAAGGTACTGCAAATTTACTACAAGGCAATGCATCTTAAACCACTTCAAACCACTTTAACTGTGGTTTAAGACGCATCATATGTTAATGTTGTATTTCTAAGGGTTGGCAGAGAATAGTAAAGGCCGGACAGAATTCAGATCTGCTGTGCTTACCCAGTAAGGAGTTTCCTATCCTGGGAAGGTGCTAGAAAGACAAAGGGGAGCTATAAATCATTTGTTTTCTGGACTCACACAGGTGGTGAGCAGCTCTGAACTTGAACATTGTAAAGACCTGTTAAGAGTTCAGGTTAAGTCCCGCCAACCCCCACATACACCAATGAATAGAAGATTTAGGTCAAGCGGCACAGTGACCTCAGATGAGAAACCTTCAAAAGAAGAAAGAGAGAAGACCCCTCCCCAACCCCCAACACCATCCACTTCTCTTACAAATCAGAGAGCATTACATCTAAAGAGGCATCCTTTCATCTCTCGTGCAAAAGTGAGGCAGACAACTTTGGTTCATTCAAGAACAGAAGGTGCTTTTACAGGTCATGGAGAAAGTGATTAAACCCAACAAATAACACCATGTTTAATTAATAAGGATTTACAGTAGAAAATCCCACTATGCAAGTCATTCATCCAGCTATCCCACTCTGCTCTTAATACCACCCTGGTCTTCATTTTAACAGTTGAATCCCACTCCCATCTGTTTAAAAAAGAAAATGTCCCAGCCCTGATTTGGCCCAGGGTCTGGTGCTGAAACCTCTGCTTTTATTAAAACGCAAGGTCCACAGCTCTGTTTCAGAAACTGTCTTTTCCCTTTTCTTCCATTTCCTTGTTTCTGTTGAAAGGAGACAATGAAACAAAGAACGAGAAAACGTTTTTCTTCCCATCTCCACCTCACTTCTTCTCACCTCATTTCTTCTCCAAAGCCCTTTGACATAAACAGAGCCCATCTCTCCAACTCTCTATAAAGAGACTATCCAGCCTCCCTGGGAGCTTGAACCACAGACAATAAATTCACATTACTCTTGCACAACACTTTCTCTCGTGTGCTGCCTCCCAACCTGGCCCAGCTCACTTTTCATTCATTACTTTACCCTCTTTTCCATTTTCTCTCTTGTATCCTTGTCTTCCTCTTTTTTTCTTCCTTTCTTCCTTCAACCAATGTCTTTAATCCCACCTTAATCTTTTACTCAAGCCCATCAGTGCAGTGAGCACACTTGAATGACTCTTTCCTCATTTATACCTAATCCAAATTTTTTAAGCAGAGGGCTAGATGAAAAGAAGGGGTTAAATGTCTTTATTGTCCTAAAGCTCGTAGCAATTCAACACAGACAGACTGATTTTTACAAAGAGACAGAGTAAATGGTTGGTACCAGAGTATCCTTTCAGTGTACTTGTCATTGTGTCTTACTTAATTCTTTTATTTTGGAGAAAACTCTGTTTATCTGCTAGAAATATAACGATAACAAAACATCCGTCAGTGGCCCAGTGGTCGGACTTGAAAGAGGAAAACAAAAACTTGCAAATGTCCAGGAAGAGTAAAAAATAGATCAAAGTGTTTGCACCAACTCATTCAAATGCAATCACAACCCAATCACACTGTGTCCTCGCGGCTCTTTTAAGCGAACGGGTCAGTGGTGTTTTATTGTTAGCGGGAGCTAGCCTAATGAAAGGGACAATGCAAAGATTAGCAGTGCCAGCCAGGCGGCTCAAACTTCACCCTGGCTTTAATTGCTGTGAACAAGAGGAGATGTAGAGGGAGGGCAAACAGAGGACAAAAGAGGAGGGCAAGCGCAGGAGTAGGTAAGACGAGGTATGGAGCTTAGATGATAAATTTAAGTATGGCATTTATGGGGGTATAATATGTCCATCTGGTCCATGCTGGTATGGCATGTGTCAAACACTGAATGTGATCTTTTAAACATCTAATAAACCAAAGAAAATAGTGAAGCTTATAGAAGACCAAAAGGCACAAACGACACACACTGCATGCCACTAGTGGATGTATGCATATGCACATAGACAGATTTCATTGTTTTGACTTGGTGGTAATTAATGCTTTATGAAAAGATTTACATTGCTGCCTCCAGCTGTGTTTGTGGAGTCCCTCCCTTGAGTTTATTACAGAGCTGTGGCATCACACAGCAGCAGGATCCATATGAGCATCTCCAAAGCAAATTTTTCCAGAGTGCTAAAGTAACTAGGCTATCTGAGCTATCCCTGTCCTGAATCTTCTTTAGTAAAACGTGTTGATATTATCTTGTAATCTATAATGCCTTTTCCTAAATGTTGACCTACACCATTACTTACAAGGTACACCACTGGGCGAGTGGTTGAAGAAAACTGCATTGAGTAATGGCCAAAATTACACTGTAGCACAGTGGTCAAGGAAAAAGTGATGACATCCCTGACTAAATTATGGCCTTTTCCTGTAGCAGTGTAACTTTTCTCTCCTCTTCTGCTCTTTTCCTTTTATTCTTTCTCTTCTCTTATGTCCTCTCCTCCCTGTGTTCAAAGCAGTTCCAAACAAAGCACCAGACACTGATGCTTACACTCATGGGTAATGATGTCATGTTACAGTTCACCCATGATATGACCAAAGTCTGACAATGGTGCATCAAAACAGCTGGAATGCTAGAGGACACGAAGCATCCAAGGACAAATAAAGGCATGGAACTTGAGGTAGGGGTGGAGTGCAAAATCTGCTGTGTGACAGCCTTTCAGCTCCACAAACTTATCAGAAACTGAAAAAAAAAAATTCCCATTAGGGTTGTGAAATTATCTAAATTGACTTAGAAGTGTTTTGTCAGCCTTTCTTGAACTAAGTAGAAGCATGTAATCAGTTTAAGAATAAAACCATGTAATTGAGGTAAAACATAAAATGACTCGGTTTTTCATGTAACAAAAGCTCAGCCAGAGGTTACTGACACTTACCAGTCCAGAACATGTCGATATGGCTGCAGAGGAGGCCGACTGGTTACGGATAAATCCCTGATAAAGGCAGTTGTGAACCTTTGCATCATCCATTACTGTGGTGATGCCATTTGAGCTGATCATCTGCACAGTGAACCCAGGGCCAACCACCGAAGATGGATGCAGGTGAAGGTGCATGTCATGCCCAAAGGCAGAGAGGCGATAGTGCAGAGAAGGAGGCAAGGACCTTTTGCTGCGATGGCTTCGCCTTGTCACATCATGGGTCAGGTACGCTCCCTGAGAGTCCACTTCCACAGGGGTTACAAATACATAGTCTGATGATAAGGGATAGAAAGACTACATCAAAAAAATCTGATGTCAAATACTTTAGCACAAAGACATCCTGTTTTAACTACAATTTTCAGTATAATTTAGAATATGCATAAGTCACCAAGCTGTCATTTTCATTCAAACATCTCTCTTTCATCATTGTTATTTTCAGCATCCAAACCTTTCAATAGTATACCTCTGGAAAAAGTGTTGGGAGTAAACAAAAGTATGTAAATCACATTCTGGAAAGCGGAGGACAGAAATGGGAGTCCTTGAATAAGTACTGCACTCACTGGTTCATGTAAACAAGCATTTCTATCATTTCCATCCACATAAGCAGTAGTCATGTCACACTGTGTAACAAGTAATATTCTTCACTGTTTAACAAAGCTGTCTCTGGTCTAGTAACTGATTCAATCTTGGCATTTATCTCACTTTATTCACGTTCTCCCTATAAACATGGAACACAGCCAGCTGGAAGAAACATCCTCAGATGTGAAAAGACAAGCACTCACCATGATTTAATCCGTGGCTGTTGCTGGAAGAATAGCTGGCTGAAACGGTGTGGGAGGCCTGTGAGCAGTAAATGTGCAGCGTCTGAAAGAAAAAAAAAAATCATAAATGGACAGGTAGCAACAGGTTACAAGCAGCAGAAAACTGGGAGCCAAAAGGGGATATCGAGTTCCTCTACTGAAATATGAGTTGCACTTGAGATTAATTTGGGATCACTTTTCACCGCAATGAATGTGATTAGACAAGTTTGTCGCTGATTTAGTCCTGCTGATAAGAGACAACTGCTTGTTTGTTTTTTCTCCCAAACTACACGTGCATGTGCTGAATTTAAAAGTGCACACGTATATATTTTTCGGATGTAAGTGCAACATGCCTTGAAAATACTCCAGGACAAGAGGGTGGAGAGTAGCTTGACTGAGGTGCAGCCGACCAGCGGGATTGGTAAAGTCCATAACAGAAGAAAAAGGCAATCCATGGTGATGGCATGCAAGCTCACACCTCCTCCGTTACCTCCTAAATGAGCGCAAAAGTAGTAACCTGTGGTAGCGCATAGTGCAGTTGGCACGCATTGTTTAGTGGTTCTGTCCGCCTGCTTTGCTCGCTCAGGTGAAGTCGGAAAGTTGCAGGAGCCGGTGGTGCGCGCAGACGCGGTGCGCACACACGAGAGTGTGTATGTGTAAGCGTGTGAGCGTGTGTGGCGAGAAGCGGCGGCCAGCGGTGTCGGGGATCACCGGGAGAAGCGCTGACTGAGCATTCAGCTCGGCTCTGAGAGAGCGGGCCTGCGGGATGGAGCACAAGTCAGCGGCCGACAGCCAATCAGCGCGCGGCATCATTTACCACGCGTAGATAAAAGAAGAAAAAGAGATTCTCCTCTTGACAGCGGCTGGACTGTTGGTGCCTTCAGAGGCCGCCGGGAAATTTAAGCTTTAAAAGTTGTGTGAGCCGATGACTTAATATTTAATCAAAAGTTGGCAACATCAAAGCTCTGAGCGGCATTTCGAAAGGCAGACTTTCTTTGTAAGTACGAACTTTAAACTTACAATAACGCAGATTTATTTTCAAATACACCAACAAAGATGAAGCCAGACCCCACTGACGTTTTTGTTTGACCATGGAGAAAAAAGAGAGACAGCGATAACTGAAGTAGTTTTACTTAAGAAAACATCAATTTAAAAGAAAATCACGACAAAGGGAGTGCAAAAAGAAAAGTGCGGAAGTTAGGAATTTACGGCAGAATCCAAGGCAATCAGAGAAAACCATAAATAAAATTGTCTTCACTGAATGGTAACTTGATACCGATGTGGTTCCACTTTAAAACAAGTGATTAAGATGTGTCACACCCACGGATTTGGTCACGGTCAATGTGCAGTGGCATTTTTAATTTTTTTTTAATTGTCCCACAACTCTGCCTCAGTCTCAGAAAAAGTGGAAAATAGCTTCTTATTGTGGCTGGGTTTTACATAAACAACTGGCAACAAATATGAAAGATTCCCTGAATGCAGCTAAAGGCTCAAGGTTTCATTATTCTGCTTTGACATGACAACTGCCCGGGGTCCCTGAAGTCTGTCAGACCATATTAGGTTCCATTTCATCTGCAAATGTGAAACTGTCAGCAAAGTGTTTCATCTTGTGGTTGCAAATGACATCGTGCTTTCATCACATTATACTAACATTCCAACAAAAATAGTACGAAGTGTCAATAAAGCCTGTGCCAAAACAAGAATTGGCCGAGTTAAGACAAATGCACAAGATATAAAAGAAATACAGAGCTTAGATTAAGAAAAGCAAGCATTAAAGAGGTTTTAAGAGCAAACTGGCTGAAAAGCAGTTTGTGCCAAATTAGCACAAATTGGTTCAAAAGCGTGGACTCGTGAACCAAAATAATTCTGGCAGCGTCTGAGGAGGATCGTGCTTTACTGATTTCCTCCTATTTGCGGCAGTGTTAATGACTATCCAATTACAGTAAATAAGGCAAAGTGGTTGCTAACTCTTTTGACATTTAAAAGTTGTGTTATTAACTTGTTAGAGTAGAAGGTTGAACACATGTCATTTGCCTGCATTAATTTGCAGCAATTAATACAATGCATTAGTTATTGTGAATAGATGACAAACACCTTGATATTTTGCTGCACCAACAGAAACATAACTGAAGTATACTGTCAGATCTCTGCACAGAGATCAACATCACAGAGCATATTAACACTTTGTACCACCTCTTTGTGTGGATTGAATTATGAATCGCATTGTCTTAATAAAAGTACTAAATAACTGTGTGGGCTATTTAATCTTATGTTGCAAGTATGTAGGAAGTAACTACCAAATCATCTTACACTTACTTCACTTGCTTTCCTTCAATAATGGTGCGATCAGGCAAATCCAGCACTGATAGAGTTCCACTGTGTGTTTTTCCATCTGGTATGCTTTTACTGTTTTGGCAGTGTGTTTAGGGTCATTGTCATGCTGATAAATAAAGCCATTCAGGTGCTTTCCAAAAGTTATTGGATAGAGGATCAACTGAATGACTGTACCTTTCTGCATTTATAAGCAGAACCCCAAATCATGAGAGAACTTCCACTGTCTTTTACAGATGGCTCTAGACACTCAGTGTTGTACCTCGCTCTTGGCATTCTTCAAACATATTATTGGAAGTTTAAGCCAAAAAATTAAAATCATTCTTTGAGACCTGTTGTTACTGAATTTCAGTCAGATTCTTTTGTGTAATTTGATATATCTCAGCCTTTTCTCTCCCATGAGAATCGTTTCTTTACCGCCAGCCTTCCATTGAGACCATTTTTGATAAGACTTCAACAAATAACAGATCAATCAATGAAGAATCGTGTCAGATCTTCACTGGATTTTTTTTTCTTGTTTCGTAAGGACATGACTTTCAGATAGTTTTCATCTGCCGTAGATAGTTTTATGGCCTGCCATTTCCTCTTTTGTCCTCCACTTGTCCGGTTCCCGTAAGGTCACACTGTGTCATCATTGTCATCTTTTTATTACATTCATAGACATAGAAACAAATTATGTGGTCGTCTAATACATGTAGCGGTTAAGCTTTGCTATTTTATGCTCGAACGACAAATCTCAGTGTTAAGTCACTTAAAAAAAAGAAAAAAACATCTCTCTAAAAATGGTAAACAACAAGGACTAAAGCAATATCTCCATTAAAAAAACCTGAAAAACCTTCAGGAAGGATGGAGAACTATTACTAAAGACCAGTTAAAAGAAAAAAAAATCGAATACATTTTTCTTGCATTAGAAAGAAAAATTTAAACACTCACTTCTGGACAGAACTGCATAATATTATGACAGCAATAATTTTTATAGAATTCTTTCTTGTCTACTGATGGAACTCAAACTATAGTCTATTTGCACAATTCTGATATATAACCCAAGAAACCTCAGACACTAAGTTCAGTAGCACATTTTGTTGTTCTTCGTGCTCTGTACTTCTGTGCTTGTCTTGTTGAAACAACTGACAGCTGACAACGCCAGCCTTCCAGTTTTCCCCACACCTTGGAACACCAGCTGTGCCAAGAAAAAGAAAAAACAACAACAATCAAACCAGACAGAGAATTCATGAACCTACGGCAGTGGAGGCTCTCCAGAAGGTAGAAGCAAAGAAAACGAGGGAAGAAAAAGAGCAAGATGACAAACAATCAGTTATACTTAAGTGATCCAGAACAACCAGCTTGTAAGCATATGGGGTATATTACCGCAGCAAATTAACCAGCCTCTGATTTGAAGGGACTCGCAGTCCCATCAATGTAACAGACAAACTGTTAATAGAAGCACATCTAACAGGATGTGCATTACAGACAATACAACAGAGTATTCAGAGAAACTGTCAGAGCATCCTGGACATTCTGGCAGAAGTAAAGATAAAGCTAATAATCAGCTATTCATTAGCTGTTATTTATCTACAGTGAGCTACATCACTTGACTGTCTTTCAGTTCAGCTCCAAAAACGGTCTCTCTGTCTCTAACATGTTGATTTTTATGTATTTAACACAAAAAGTGTAGCTTGAAGTAATTCTGGGTTGTGGGGATAGTGTGGGAGCAAGTGTGCACCATGGTGCAAACTTGGGTAGGTTAGGAAACAGTCCTTGATTACATGTAATTATCTTCTTGTAGTATTTCTTTTTCAACTGATTAAAACAAACAAAAGCACACACGCAGAGAAAAAGCAGATGTGGTTATGAGATTCCACAGCCTACACTTGGTGAGGTTTCCGTTTTTCTGCGTCTTGAAATAGTATTAATAATTCAACATATTTTAGTTGAATAGTTTTTTATTGAAGCAGGATTGTAAAAGCTGAAGCTATCTTAAATATAGGAATCTTCTAAAAAAAAAACTTACTATCCCCTAGCATTTTTTAATTTTTAATATACTTGGCTTTCAAGACCTTCCACCCACTGTCCACAGAAATTGGGAATAAACTCTTAAGTTATATGATATAGGTTATTTCACTGGCTTATTACAGCTTATGTTTGTCATTACAATGTAAAATGCAGTTTTGGTGGCCCTAAGTGTCAGTGTAAGTGCCAGTGATTGGAGGTTGCTGGAAAATTTCCTGCACTATACTGCACTTCAGCGGGTAATTGCACTGTCATCCGCGCAGTCTGATGCAGAGTTCCTGAGGAAATAAAACCACAATGTTTCTCTGAGTTCTCAGCAAAGATTCTGATTGTAGATGTAATTGCTCATTTGACACTACAGCGCACGTCTTAGTTTCCATTGCCAGAGCCATATAAAATGCAGAAAATTAGAAAGAGGAAAGATTTGTGGTCTGAGCGGCACGATGTGGTTCTCGTCCTTTGTTCCCTGCTATTTCTGCCTCAGTGTTAATCTTTTTCTCTTAACACGGACGCCTCACTTTCTCTTCCGCTTAAAATGTTGTTTGCATTGTCGGTGGTGGCTACAGATGCTTTCAAATCTATAATCTGAGTACTGTTACACCCTAGCACACCGCAGCTTGTTGCACTCTGCCACTGTGTTGAAAGATGATGTGCTTATTTACAGCATACTAAACCCACTGTCTAAAGCCCTAAGCAGTCTCTTCCTTTCTCATCATGTCTCTGCCCCAGTTGGGTTGTTGAGTTACCAGGGTCTGTCAGGCCGATCTGTTGTTTGTTTCCCAAAAGCGATACAACATATCCAGTTACAGCTGGAAATATAAGCAGTTAGATTTCCTGGCCAACCCAGCTGCCGGAGACCATATTGAGACCACATCTATCCTCTGAGCCTTCTGTACTGGGAACAAGATGGGGAAGGAACCAGAGCAAAGAAACTTTGACAATTTGATGGTATCTCAGAATTAGCAGACGTATTGTACTCAATCATACACAGAAATAATTGTACTTGCAGCAAAACATGCCCGAGAACAAATATTTGAAAGGTGGCTTTCAAAGTTCTTCATCATCACAGTGAAAATAGCCATATCTGCATGACCCAGATCCTCTGTCGAACCTACAATTGCACTGAGCTCAGTCTAATCTACCATAAAAGGG